TTTCAAGCAGCTGCTATACGCATAAAAGCCTTTCTACGCCTTACAAGTTCATAACTGAGCTGCTTGTTTTGACCATGTCTTGGAAAGGTTGTTATTTGAGTATTCTAACGAAGAACTGTTAACTGGTCGATGCGAAGTGCCACAATGCCTACCAAAAGTCTTGGTATACAGCATCAGATTTTAAGGGCAAGTTCAGCCATCCCCTTTCCTCCCCCACCCCCCTTTGAATAATTTTGATTTACTACAAAATGACGTAGGTGTTCAGGAAGTGCGTTTATTCCTGCGTCTTATATAATCTTTTTCTCTAAATTATCAACATTGGGGGAAAGAGGGTGCGGAAGTGGGTGTATTCGGGAAGAGAATTGAAAAATATAAGAACATGACGCATATTGCTGGTTGTTTCAAGTACTTTTGGAAATGATTGTCGATGTCCTATAGAAAGTCATGTGCACACTAAAGGTGTGTAAAACAAGACGATTCAAAGTTGCATGCAACTCTTGAGTTTCATGCTGAATTTTATCATAAAAAATATTTAGGTAAAATATATCATTGCTAAAAGATTTAAGAGAATACGTTTTTGAATGTTTGAATGGAATAGATGTACACGAGCAGCCCCCTCCAATTGAATATAGAAGCACTTTAGGCTTTTGTTTTGCAAGTAAGATGAGGTAATTGTAATATAAAAACATAAATGAGGGCTTCTTTGCAAATTCTGATAAAATAGTGACAATGTCAGTTTGGTTTGATAGTGTTACCAGGCGCGCTTAACTGGTTATCTCCTTGGTAACAGCAAATTGAAAGATGGAAGCAGATGGCCAACGAAGCAAACAAAACCTGTCGGGAAATTCATTCCGATTCGACTTTGCTGATTTGTTTACAATTTTCTCGTTTAAGATAACTTGGAAAGAACCAAAGACAGCCTAATGCATTCTCATTTTACGATATCAGCTTTGCATCATTGCTAACGTCGAACAAATGACCAGAAATGCGTTATATCTTCCACTCTTTTCTTTATAAGAACCGGTAAATGGACGTTAAGCCTTGCTGTTTTTTAATTTTTGCAAACTTTGAGGCTAGATTGTCGTTAATTCGCTCTAAAATGTTTAGGGTGTAAGCAGTGGAATCCTACAATATTGAGCTCAAGGGGAGTGTTCAGGCCCCTTTTTAGCAGGAAAATGCGTGAACTATCCTTCATTTGCCGACAATTTTGAAAATCTACCGAAAAGCACTCTACATGTAGATGGCAAAGATCTCCTTTTTTCAGATGAAACATCAGCTTGATCTCATTATGTTCTCAACTTTTGACCGATTTTGAGGCTCGTGTTCTTATAGAATTTTTGTTATAAAATAGAGTTAACAGTGAACAGGTGGAGAAGTATGGGTGTGGCGTCTATGATTATTTTGTCTCCAACATAGAAATAGAAGGACTTTAATCTTTATGGTCTTCAATGTCTTTTCTTATTTTCAAAGGACGTAAGACCTCCACTTTTCTGGACCTTGCTTTCAACAAATCTATGAAAGGGCTGTCTAGCCTGTAAAGTTAGGGGTCTGGAAAACAGGCTAGGGCATTACTTTTCATATCAAGGGTCTGGAACATAGGCTAGGGCTGTCAGGCATTACTTTTTCCTAGGAACACTACCTCTGAAATTACTGGTGTCAATACGCTTTAAACCTTTAAAAGAAACAAAGAACCCTCAATTCAAGTGGAAATGTTGGCTTGGCATTCAAACCTATGCAAAAAAGGACGATGATGCTATCGCATAATGAGTTTTCTTTGTCATTTTAAAAGTTTAAAATATCCTCAGCTAAGCCATCATCGTTATAAGAGATATCAATTCTCAGTGCTTATTTGTCAAGTAGCATTTAGGCAACACCTTATCCATGTCATCCTTGTCATCCTCTGCAAAGAATCCTTCTTCAACGCCTGATATTAATTATGAGAAAACTGACTTGTGAAACACATGGGTACTCGTAATGGTAATTAGGTTAGCAATAGACTCTGCTTGCAATGTACAATTTTTTATAAGAACCATTTAATTGAAGTTCAGGCTGGCTGCTCTTAATTTTTCTGAAAATCTGAGGCTGGATTTTTCTTAATTCCTTATTCTTAATTATCAGCGTGTAAGCAGTACAATTGCTAGCTATTGCGCTCCAGGGAGGTGTTCAGAGCCTCGTTTTTGCAATGAAGAATTGCTCAGAATTATAATTTACAGTAGCTCAGGCTCAGCTTGTTTTCAATGTCCTTTTTTAACTTTTGACCAATTGTGAGGCTCGTGTTCTTACTGCTTTTAGTAATGTGCTTGTATATTGAATAAAACGTCTAAATCTTGAAGTTGAAGCAAAGCGACCTTTATTATTAGGCATTGTATGTGACTCTTTGTTTAAAATCCACTGTGAAAGATATAATATTCCTTTATGGTATACTCAAACACAAACAATTGAATAAGTTGATTTGTTTTTTGGCTATATGTTGAGGTTAATATCTTCAGGAAGCTAACACCATGAAAATGTTTGTTAAGGCTTCTATGATTGATTGTAGTACGTGACACGTAATGTTAAAATTTTTGCATTGAAACTTGTCTTTCTTGGAAATTGTGATCTTGGTTCTTTCTTTCACCCCCTTTTACATAGAAGCAACCTCTACTAAAAGTGATGCTTGTGCAACAGGTTTTGAATATTATTATAGTTGGTAGTGAGACCAATGATAAATTGCCAGCATGCAGTCATGTTAGTTCGTATAAGACGCAACTGATGAACTGAGGTGTATTCTTGTCTCTGTCTGTCGTTTCCACGCTACACTTGGAATATACCAACCTTGCTAATCACAATTCATTATTTTTCGGATACACATATATGAGTTGTATTTTATTTATTCAAAAATTTAAAGTTCCCTCGCTAAAAATCATTATTAAGTAAAGTTTTAATTTTTTTGTGGTAAACAAAGTTTAGAAACTTCATTGGGAAGAAACATTCTTGCATTTTTGGCCAAAATTCGCGAAAGCTTATTATGGGAAACTTCCTAAAATGTAAAATTTGTGAAAGTTTATCCTTGCAAAATTTCAGAAAGTATAAAAATTTACAATATGCTTCTCTTGCAAAATTTCACTATATATAGAATTCGCGAAATGTTATTCTTGAAAAATGTTTTAATGTTAAAAGCGAAATATTCATTTTTGCCAAAATTCAACTTTGATCTGGTGTGTATATTTTCTGCTGCATAATTTGCTGCACAAGCAAAAATCAAGAATATAAATTATTCGGTACTTTCTTTCATTATTCAGTCAATCACTGTTATATCATTATGGTGCTTTCTTTCTTACCAATCTTTCTTGTCATTTCATTTATTAGCATGTCCCTGCTTTGGTCAATGACTTTGGTCTAGTTGGAGGAAGCAGTGTTATATATGTTTTTTTGCAGAAGAAACTGGTCCAGACACCATAACAAACATTGGTATTGAAGATCCGGAAATGTTACGAAATTTGACAAGAAATTCAGTTCATGAAACTTCACTTTTGCTAACTACGTAGTTTTCAGAAAACGCAAAGGTTTATTCCCGTAAACGCAAAGGTCGATTCACGAAAGTGAAGTTTCACTACGATACTGCATCTCTGGTACTTTGTAGTAGATCAAAATATGATCCGATACAGTGTAAACAGGGTCGAATGTTGTCGTTCGCATGTTTAATTGTATTCACCCCATTACAGTGGAATCAGTATTCAAAGCTTGTAATAAACCACATGTAATGCTGCTGCAGACCGAGAGGATAATAATGAAAGTTAGATAAAGAGATTTAAGTACACGTGCACATTGCGAAAGGCTTCTGTTTCACATGGTATACTGTTAGGTATGAAGCAATTATATGGAATTAAGGATCAGTAGTTAACCCTCTTGCCGTAAAGGACACGGACATCATTTGAATATTTTAATGTACTCACATCTTCCAACATTCTAAAAACAATCTTTGCTGATGTTTTCTATGTTTTACTCCAATCAGCTGCAGCAATACCAAACAGAAATCATCGTAACAGATGAATGAATCTGCGCAAGTGAAATACTGATCCATAGTTTTAATAGATCCAGTGACAAAGCAATGTTTACAGCAAATCTTGTCAATTTAACATAAGAGTGGATATGAAGGAAAATGCAAACAATGTTGATATTTTGGTTGATCTACCTAATACTCTTTTTATTTAAATTCTTATCCCAAGAGAAACCAATATAAATTAAACAGCGCCTCATTTGTTTTCAAAAGGCTCACTCTAACAATCTTTTGTGTTCGCCTACCGGTACGTCTTAAAAAACGTTTTATCAAGGGGCACTGAAAAAGAAAGATAGCCACTGAAAATGCCGGAGCCTTCTTAAAAGTATTGCACTAGGCGTGGTACACAGAGTTACTATTAAACTCGTGAGTCCGTTCTCGTAGGAGCGAGATTTGCACATTTGATTCTTTGAGGAAGTTTTTACGCTTGCGCGAACATCCACCAAATTATCCGCGGAGGAACATCAAAAGTCCTCTTTTGTGGCGCGTATTTGTTGTGAGTTTTTTTTAGCTTTGCCTGGGCTTATTTGCCCGATAGATGGCACGTGTTTCTATCAAGACTGCGTTTCGGGTCTTTTAGGGATTGTAATTTGCAATAAAAATGGCGAATAACTATTTACTTGGAGTTTAAAGGCCAATCGCTAGCCTGTAGGCAGGGCCATATGATTTCCCACAATCCCCTTCACTAACTGTTTTAGACTTTATCTAAGAGTTCAGCAAGGCCTTATAACTTTGTTACAATTTTTAAACTACGACGTTTTCAAAATTCCAGCTGCATTTCCTTCTTTGGCAAGCACTTCGTCATGACCGCCGTATGATGGTCAGTAGAAGCTGATCTGGAATGCCGTCATTGCTATAACTTGCTCGGTTTAATCATAGTCAATAGTCCATAATCATATACATAGTCTATTGACTATGCTTAAAACACTGGTTAAAAATTGTAGGCTCGCAAAGGATTATGGTTGGCAATGGCTATCTGGAATTTCGAACCTAATTATCAAACCAGGAATAGGTTCTTTAGAAAGCCTGTCTGTTTATGCTGGCAGAAGTGAATTTTTACATGGGCCAGCGCTAAAATACAAAGGAAATTGGAACGAGATACATACTCTTCAAAGCAAAATGCTGTGTGGAAAGTTGTCAATAACATATGACGAAGTCAACTTATAAAGTATTGCCCTCTCCCCTTGAGGAGCTTAAAGCACAAATTTCATTGTAGCAAAGTTGTTTTTGAAAAGGATTTCTTATTGCTTTTTATTTCAACAGTTAGTTTTTTCTTTACGCTAGCTCCTCGATCTGGTATCTTTGAGCATTCAAGACGATAAGCTCAGTTGTGTTGCGTACTGTTGTAGGTAGATAGAGAAATCAAAGAAAGCATAGTTTTTTGAGCAAAAGTGAAAAAAAATGAAATACTGGTATTACATGCATGTATATATTAGACAATTAACAGATAAACATGTACTTATATAAATGAAAAGAAAGAAGAAAGCTACAATATTCAAAAAAATATTTTTAAATCAAAAGGTTGGCCTATAGCAAACCCATATACTTCTACATTTGCTTTCGTTTTTGCCATTGTTTTTGTAATTTTTTTGTAATATAAGGTCAAGGGTTATTTGAAAATGCGAATGCCATTTACAGTATTCGAATAACTTTTTCTTACAACTAATATTAGGCATTAACAGAGACGCAAAAACAGGTGATACCTTATTTTATAATTTTTATCACTGATAATTTATATCACATCAAATGATAAAATTCTGGCTGAGAGAATTTTAACTTTTGAATATGGCAACAAAACTCCATATATGTGATTTGTGAATTTGGGTTGGCATGTTAAAACCTCTTTGCGTCATTTATAATAAAGTATTGAATTGCGGACCCTCCTGTACGAAAGGTGGTGGTAAGAAGAACAAGAGAAAAATTTTGAAGGAAGGCAAGTTTAAATGCAAACCCGTTCCATTAATACCACCAATTTGAAAGGCCTTTTAAAGATCCACTGTCAAGCAACATTTAGGTTTACACATTTTTAAACTCATGTTAGTTTTAAACAACATTTAGGTTTACTTGTTTTTGTTTTCGTTTTAACCAAGCAATAATAAATTAAGTCAAAATCAAATTTTATTTTTTGCAGTTGAATATAAAAAAATAAAAACTTTTTACAGTGGGTTTAAAAAGGAAAGAGTTACGCACATTAGGGAGGAGAACAGTGAATAGGACAACCGTGAAATTTTTTCTTTACAGTTGATAATCACCCCTGAGTTTGTTACTCCTGATTTCACGTAGAACTGATCATCATTTTGAATTCTGAAAAGAATGATGGGAATGAGATTAATGGGCGATTCATTTGTCTTTGCTAATGAAATCAATCTCCTGATTTTCAAGATCCAGCCAATTGAAGGTTCTTAATTTGCTTAAAAACTTCATTTAAGTATACATTTAAACTTAAGAGCCAAAATCTATCCATGCTTAAACTTTTTTTGAGCTACATCTGTTGTCAGTTACACTCCTTTTTCTTTATGAGAACCAGTAAATTTATGTTCAGACTGACTGTTTATAATTTTTTCGAAAATCTGAGGCCGGATTGTTTCTTAATTTCTTGTAAATCAAGGAGATGTAAGCAGTACGATTGCTAGCTTTTTCGCTCTAGGGAGGTTTTCAGGCCTCATTTGCCAACAAAGTGAATGAGACAGCTTTCATTTGCCGAAAAGTCTGAATTTTCACCTCATTCACCCACACATTGCTAAAAATCCTCATTTTGAGATAAAACTTCGTTCAAAATTGTACTCTCCAGTAGCTCAGCCTCAACTTGTTCTTAACTTGTTTTCTTTTGACAAATTTTGAGGCTCGTGTTCTTATAAAACTGTTCTTATAAAAAAGAGTGTAATAGCCAATATTGATAAATTCACTATCAATAACGTTGACTATGGTTATGATTTAGAATAATGAACATTGAAATAGATACATGGCTTCCACTGCAATTCCGTAACTATCTCTATTCAAATGACGGGATTTTGTTTCATTCTTACCATCGTATGAAACTTTCCGATCTTTATCTAGTTGAAATATTTGAAGGATGTAATCCCTATCCTTTTTACGGTCTCCCATTACATCTACTAGAATCTCACGAATCAGCGATGAATTCACATATCCTCTGCCAGTGTTATCAAAAGCTCTAAAAGCTTCCAAGTAGCTCTGTTGATCCAATTCCGGATTTTCAAGCTCCAGCATCAGGTCGATGAATTCGTTAAAATCAACCTTTCCATTTCCTGCATATGAAAAAATGTCATATCAAATATTTGAATTTAGAATCACAGGCAATGAATGCGTTTGTTTGCAAGTGGCAGCAGATGTAAAGGGACTGAGTCGTTGCAATAAATGCATCTTTTGATTTGGACAGCCTTGAAAATGGCGGTAATGGAAGAAGTCCCCGATGTCGGGGAAGGCTTGAAGGGTGGCCCCCCTTTCCAACATGCATCTGAGCCTATGTCAGTAACCCAGCCCCTAAGACATTTAAACTCAATCTAGATTTACTTTCATGCTATTTTATACAACTAATATGAAAAAGCTTGCAAAAACTCTATATACTTAGAAACATACCATCATAATCAACTTTCATACACAGGTTTTCAACTTCGGTCTCTGTTGGATTGAACCCCAACGACCTCATAAGCAGCTTGATGTCATTGTTTCCAATATGGCCTTTATGCTTCTTGTCAAAAACACAGAATGCATCATAAAACTCTGCAATACAGTGATCAAATTTAAATCATCTGAGGCCTAATAAGGCTTTTAATGTCAACATCTAAGGCTCTTAGTTTGCGATTTAATTTCAGTCTGATGTGTAAAATATCGTTCAAAATATGCAGATAATGCAGAGACTAAATTGATATGAGTGGTCTATTTCTTTTCCTAAAGAACAGTCGCCTGTTGATCACATCAAGCGTAAAACACGTGAACTACTAATGTTTTCAGAGATTTAAATTCTTCATATTTCTCCTATCTAAAATGGCAGCATATTGAAATTTTGCAATTAACTTGCAGAAAATCTAAGTGTCTGTCTTTGCATTGAAAAAATTAATGCTTGGGCTTAGATTGCTTTGGTGCACGAATTTTCCAGTGTTCATCGTAATACATATCTAACTGTTGAGTATGGTTTCTGAAGATATGATATAAGTATAAAAATCAGTATGAATGTATCTAATAACAAAATGTTCAAATCATCTGTTATAAAAGCTGCGAACAAAGTTCTTTTGAGACATGTACCTCGAAGTTGTTCCTCTGAAAGCTTTCCCCTTTTCTCTTCCTATAAGAAAATTAAAGTTACTATCAAGATCTAGAGATGTCCCAAGGTTACTTCTCCTGGCATTTTTAGAAAATTGCAAATACAGGTTTGCATCTATTGAGCTACATTTTGATATGTTTGAATCTAGTACGGCTGTATAACTTGCTTGCTAGTATTCTTTGGCCAACCATATTTATCAAATTCCTTGATGATTAAAAATAATTAAATTAATTTATTGCGATTTGTTGTTTCAAAACTTTTTCACTAACTTCTGTCTGGGAGAATCCATTAATTTGTCAAGGCTCATCTTTAATATACAAAAAATGTTTGCGGAATGAAAAAATGTTGACATTTAACTACTATAATCTAAGCAAACTTGATTGCTGACTGCAACACGAAACAATGCTTCTTTCAAAAAGTTATTGAATGTATAGAAATGGGAAATCTCAGCGAAAAGCTTTTCACACAAACATTAGTTTCTAGTGTCGAGTTCAAAAATTTCTCACCATTTTCTTCGGGCAAAAATAATTAGTTTTCAGTGCCTCAAAACATGTTTTCAAATGTTATTTACGATGTTTTTATCATCATCAGATTTGTCAATATTTAAATTAATGGATCAAGAAATTGTAATATTCAGGAAAAATAACAAAGTAAGGCAACAAACAAAGAAACTCTTGTTAAATGTTTCAAGAACCTTTGGCAGGCAATTGGAAACTTTTTATGGCATTAACACTTAAAGGCATCGAATACGTTTTTATGGCATTAACACTTAGAGGCATCGAATTCGCAGCTAATCTGTTTACAAGAACAAAAATTGAGTGACTTACACTTGCCATTGTCGAAAATCAGAGTGCCAAGCTTTGATCTACTCTTCGCAAAGATGCTTCACTTTAAATGGGAAGAATGTTATGTTTTTTTTTCAATTTTGATATGTTTATCTATGGTGAATATAGGAAAAGACCTTCCGCCGTACACCTCAATCTTTAATTCTGTATAAGGTATAGATTTACTGGTCGAGGCTGAATTATTGTACAAGACGCACGCATATATTGAGACACCTGTAAAACGGCCGCATGCGGAGAAGACATTGACGACACTTACTTTGAGTAGTTAGGATATTCAAGACGAAAATAGACTGTGGTTTGCACAGATTCAGTGTATCTTTACTTGATGCGGCAATAACATAGAGCTTGCAGTGCTTGGTTGGATGTTATCGACGGGGAGAGCTATTGATACTGCCGTGCACCCTTTCACCAATTACAAAAGACTCAGGTAATTCACTAGCAAATGTGGGGAATATGATAGCAAATTCTTATTCTGTGTGTGCATGTGACGTACCGTAGTATCCAGACCCCTTGGTTAACAAATAAGGAGAGGATATTGAAAGTGGGCAGTTTGAGTTTGCAAGCTCTAAAAAGAGACAGCAGCATATTTACCTATTGACAAAAAACTTTAATTTGAGCCTCGATTTAAAAGGAGACCAAAATATAATCACGGCACATATCCCTTGGAGTACCACAATTTTGTAAATCTCCGTTCTTTTATTAAAGAAGTCAATCAGGTAATGAGCCGGAACATGCTAGTATTTGATTGCCGCCCTCTAAATGCTTTGTAAATCTTTCTGGCAGGTAGGATAGCTTACCATGAATACGTTGAAGGAATATGCCAAACAGGCTGTCAATTCCGCAAGAGGTTTCCGTGAGAAAATATGGATTATTTTCATGGTATTGATTACAATGGATAACGATATTCAAAGGAATGGGACATAAGTGATTATTTAACACAGCAGAATAAAGGAAGGTAGGAAGTAGCTGCAAAAGGATGCGAAATATAGTGTACTGAAGTGTGACGTCATCAAAATCTATATTGACGAAGCAATTAAGACAGAGGAAGATAATCTAATAAATTGTTAAATAGCTCGTCATTGGTTCCTTTATCTTTATTCACTTACTTTTTACTGCGAAGAAGGCAAACAGAAATAAAAGTGTGTCTTAATTATTAGGCCACTTTATTGAGAATAGCACGAGGAGTTACAAAAGAAGTCTAGGGAATCTTTGTATTTATGGTAAGCGCAAGGTCTTAGAGCCCGGAAATGTGCTTTCAAGACTAGACGTTTTCAAGACAAGACAATATCAAGACTAGACTTGAAAAACTTCCCCGATAATGGAAAATAAAGGTTGGGCTATTGTATTAAAATTTATCTTGTCATCTATGACCGTCAACACGAACTTCAACTTGATGAAGGCAATGCTTCTATTTAGAAATTTTAGATAAGTAATATCTTGTGTCCATTCTTTCTACGTAATAAGTGGTGGACGAATTGTAAACTAAAGCACAGTCTTCCATATCCATAGCTCTTCTGTCTAAATTTGAGCCGTTTCTCTTTCAAAAATCATGATCAGTATAGATTTTGTATCATAGTATTCTTTTGAAACAGTAAATTAAGGAATCTTTACACATGCATTTGCATATAAGATACAATTCCGATTCCTCTTGCTTTCGGCTAATTTCTATTGTCTACATGTACTGCTTCTGTTAAAAAGCTTTTCTTTAATCTAGCCGATATTGCTGAGAATTTCAATTGCACGTTTATATTTCTTTTGCCTGGCTTTCTCAGATTTCTTGCCTGGCTTGACAACAAATCCTTAATTATTCACGTAAGCATCGCTTTTGAGTCTTATGTAACGGACACTGAAATACGTAAATAAGCGTTACTGGTTGTTCAAAAGACTCTGCTACCTAGCATCCTAAGGGTAGGACACTGACAAGCTATGCTTATCGAGCATCGTCCTTGTCGTTCCCCTTAATGTGACCACACCTAGTGATTCAAACGCCTGTAAATTCAGAGAGCTAGCAACTACCCTTACTCTGAGTGAAAGTTCGGTCATGTCGTGGACATGAACCATGGACCCTCGGGTCTCTAGTCCTCGCCCGTTCTCGTGCCACACTTGCAAGAGGCGCCCGCTTGATAGAAACAACGCTAATACCAACAATTCTCACTTAGATCTAATAGCAAAGAATGTTGGGGGCATTTTAGAGTTGGGGTTACCCTAGGTGCCAGAGCCACGACGCAAGCTGCGCTCATTTTTGCGGCTCTGGCACTCAGGGATGTTGGGTGTTATGCCCTGTCCTGAATGGATACTGCGTTGGAATGAGGAAATGAATTGAAAAACTTGCCATTTGATCATGCATCGGCCCTTTAAATATTTTAGGAGCTGCAGGTGGTATCATTATCGGTCAACAGCTTTACTTAGACGTTGGTTCTTCTTTTTTGAAGACAGCAGATATATCTTCTATTTTAAGTTCATCAGGAAAGAAAGTCTCTTTTATGAAGGTGTTGAATAAATCTAGCAATGAAGCAGAGAGAATATACCATTTTGGGGGGAAGGGGGGAGGTTTGGCGGGCCTCCCAGTAATTCTTAAAACAGCCCAAAATATCTTGTTTTTTGCCGACTGTATTTTCAGCCTCTCCAAAGGTTTTAAGCCCCTCGTAACATGCTCCACAGTCCCTGCGTCTATAGGCAAGATTTACCTTGGAAGGGGAGATGGAGGTTCGTCTTTTCGCCTAATAGGCACTTTTCCTCTTGAAGCGTCGACACTATTAACTGTTTTTAAAATTGTTTGCCCTTTTTGTCCAAAAGTAATTGATCGGAATACAATACCCATTCTGCTTAGGGTTCGAGTGCTCAGAATGTACCAGTAAATTTCCTATGTTGTGACTTGAAAGGTCTGTTAGCGAGATGGTAAGATAAAAGGCAGCTCTGGGACCGCAAATAATCAGCGAAGAACCAATTTTACGTATGTGAAAGTGATATATAAGAGCTGTCATACCCTTGGAATCAACAGGAAAACTTTTTTCCAGGCTAGTTTGAGAAAAGAAAAAATTAAAGGAATCAGGCTCAAAAAAGCAATGCAAGTTTGATAACTGTTGAAAAGGAGGGAAAGGTACCTTGCTCGGCTGCTAAATCTCGACATTTTCAGCTTTAAGACCTTTGATGTCTTCCATAACTAAAAATTCGTGAGCAATCTGACGAAATTGTATTAGGAGTAACATTCAGAGGTTAAAGGTTGAGCTGTCTAGTTTTTGAAGCCAAAATTGCCCAACAGGTAAGCAGTACGGTCATCAAGTAGTCCTAACATACAGGAACATTTGCAAGCTAACATAATCCCATTTGTATTAATCTTCATGCTCTACAAGAAAAGAAGCTAACGTACTTAGGAGACAAAACATCTTTCTTACTTCTGATTTTTATTTACATTCTGATAGGTCAGATGGGCAAAGCTAGTATAGGCGTCATAATGCTCTACTTACGTATATATGTAGCTGAAACACAGTATAACTAGATGCAGGACAGTATTTACTACAGTTAGCACGGTCGCTGGAGAGTGGGTCGCGAAGGGGCTCCTTCTTGCTATTTGATAGGAGGGGCGGAGGGGGGCCAAAGTGCCCTGTTCATAAAATTACCCATCACATCGGCCTTTCGTAATTATCAAAGAAATCTTAAGAATTCATATGCAATTCTAACTGTAGCGCCTTGTTTATGAAAAAATTTCTCAAAACTTGTAAAAGAATTTCTTGAAAAAAATTTCTCATGACAGCAATTAACAAATTTTCAAAATAGGAAATCGAAACAAAATGACAGTTGCAAATAATTTAGTAAAAGCTTGGAAATACTTTCAAATGTCTTTTTACTGAAACCTGCCTCCCTTGCCCCTTGGTTGTTCCAGCGTTTCTGACAGTTTATATTTTGAAAGAAAATCTGTTGCACTGTATTTAACTAGTAAACACGAGCGTAAGATTTCTAGCCGATGAGCCGAGTTTCTAACGAGCATACACTGCATTAGAAAATGCTTCACGAGTTTGCAGAGGCTGTCATACTTGGGTTTTTCGATTCTCCTCAATTAATTTAATCATTACGGGTAGGGTATTACATCAAGTATGAGTACAAAATCTAAAAATACAGTTACAGTTAAACTTTCATGTAGTATATGTAGGTATTTTATACGTTTATGTTTGATATTTGTTATCAGACATTTTGCTTTATATGCAAACGAGATACCGTGCTTTTGACTATCCAAAGTTTATAGTCAAAGTGTTTATCAATAGGATTTATAATCTTACCATTTACATAAAAGAATTAAAGCAGTTATATTTTTTATTATAAAGAACTGTTTAAGAAACTAAAACAACCTTTCCATTAGTTTTGTAAGATTCAATATATCATCCATTTTACATCTTGTGCCATCGTCATTAACACCATGTTTTCTTTCCAATACCTCGTGAAAAATTTAGATATTCAGGTCCGTTATCCAGCCGCGTCTGGATGAGTCTGTACTGCTTACGTCAGTATCGGAGCTGACTCGTTATCATTTACAATTATTTTCACATTTTCCATTAAAGGCAGTCAAAGTAACAAAGGAGCTGCAGATGGACCACTGATCTTTAAATCGATGTAGCTTATGTTGAGGCTATCATCAGTTTGAATTCTGAATAAATTATGAATGAAAATTTAGGTATCAGGAAGACATCCAATATTTCAAACATTTAAGTTTGGGTAAAATGAGACATAAGTGGCACTGGAAATAAGTGTGGTTTCTTTCCAAATGTGATGATAAGAATAAAAATTTTAAGGGATATTCTTTGAGATCAAATGCCATGTAATTGAATAAGAATAAGATTAAATGTAATTGAATAAAAGTAGTATTATGTTTGTTCCAACAATATCTTCCAGAAAGTGTTTTTTGTATTCATATGTGTTTCATGTTGGTCCACATGGCCCTGTTATAGTTTCTTACTACAAAACAAATTTTCCTTCACCTTGTCGATGCAAAAGTTTATCAAACAAATTTACAATTAGTCAAAAATCTCAAGAATAGTCATTTTAGTCACGAAATATGCAAGGACAGCAAAGGCATCAAAAGATTGGAAATAGTTGTACAAATATGTCTCACCTAATGTTTGACTACAACTTTTAATGTTTAAAACGTGAAGCTTAAAAGAAACAAATTGTACACTATAATTAAGCATGATAGCCTGTCTAAGCACTTGGAAAGGAAGGATTTCTGTGAGATATCAAAAGCAGAGTCCGCTAGTCCAAGTAGCTTAAGAAATCAGTTTGCCAAGGAACAGATGGATAAATTAGAGACAGAGACTTGGTTAGAGTGTGTAAGGGAGAAATAACAGGGTTCCTTTGTTAGAGTATGTTCATTCCTCCCACCAGTGGAGTAAAACCCCTTCCAACGTCCTCTTTGATGAAACGAAGGTATAGATAATATTTTCACCAGGATTCAACGGTACAAATACTAGTTTGGTTTAGCCTCTTGTCCTAACAATAAGCCTCTTTATCGAGAATTCATGGCCCAGCCTCTGCCAAGAGAGCTCCTAAAGAGACCACAACTTGCAGTTAACTAGAAAAGTGGTTATCAGTTTCCAAACATGGTTTGAAAAAATGGTGAAAAGTTTCCTAGCAATGCAGATGACTCGTCCTATGCAGTGGCAGAAATTTCGGCAGTTGGGGTGCAACTGCCTCTCCTCTAATTTAAAGTGATTCAGAAAATTTCATACGAAAATGAGATATTTGCTACCTTCGAAGTTTACTTTTCGATCTTTGTCCAATTGAAAAACCCGAATGATGTGTTGTTTGTCCTTTTCACGTTGGCCCATAACATCCAAAAGGATCTCACGTATCAGTGATGCCTGAATGTACCCTTTGCCTGTATTGTCAAAGGCTCGAAACGTGTCGAGGTAGCTCTGTTGATCAAGCTCTGGGTTTTCTAGTTCCAACATGAGATCTATGAATTCATTGAAGTCAACCTGTCCGTTTCCTAAAATTAAAATCAAGATTAAAATCTATGTAAGGCAAATATACACATTTCCAAAAGAAGTTATGAATGAAAACAGCCACTTATAAATCGTACTAACTTTACGCTCCAACAGGTGCTTGGAATACCATTGAAAAGAGAGACTTCGTTGGAAGTTGATTCTGCCATTTCACTCGTTTCTCACTGATCAGAATCTATGTTTCGCCAGAATCATATAAAAGTAATGATATTTCTTTAAATATCGAAAGTGTCAGGATGAAAGAGAGCACTGAAGAAAAGCTGCTAGGAGTGATTCTGGACAAAACATTGTGCTTTAAACAGCAATTAAGGTCAATTTGCAAAAAGGCTGGGCAAAAGCTACATGCTCTCTCGAGAATCTCTCACTCTCTTGATACTAAACTAAAGAGAATAATGAAGGCATTTATCTTGTCACTGTCCTCTTGTTTGGATGTTCTGCGATAGAACACTTAATAGTAAAGTTAATCGTATTCACGAACGGGCATTTCAGGAGCTATACCACATCAGGAATTTACAACTGTTGATGATTGAAATTTATAAAACAAAAAGGGAGCTCAATCTTACTTTCATGAAGGATATCTCTATATCTGCATATATGTACTTGATTACTTCTTATGTTATATATACATGTATTTTCTTTTTTTTTAAAAAATTTACTTTGTAGTAGGCTTTAATTAGCTTGCATTCTGTAGCTATTTTTGTACGCCTACTTCAAAAAATAGATAATAACAAAAATAATAATAATGATAATAATAATAAACTATTGCGTGGAAAAACCACGTTGAAGTAAATGGGTCGTCCCTGTTTTCGTGCAGAACAGAGGAAAATAAAGAACTTATGGTTAGTAGAAATCGCTTGCTCACCTCTGTGTTTTTAATAGTTCACAGAAACATTGGCTAGAAACAGTATTTAAAACTCAGACCATTATTCGAGCACCCTTTGCACACCCCTGAATACACCACTGAATCCCCTATCCATCTGCTTAAAAGTTTCAAAACTTAAAAATAACCCTGTTCTTTCCTAGACACTGAAAACCTAATTTCTAATAATTTTCTTTTAAACCATTGAGATATCGCTCTAAGGGGCTTTTCACAATGTCACAATCAAAGCATCGTTCAGCGCAGAGGCGGTGCCAAGGGGGGAACTGGGAAGGACATGTCGCAAAAATTTGCAAAGGTCGATTTTTTAATTTGCATAAATCCGTTGAAAAATTATTGCGAGGGGGGCGTAAAGTGATAAACAAACAAAATAATTTTGCTTACTTCGAAAACTGCTTCTCCGCCCTCTTTTTCAAAAGCTTTAGATGATCTTTCTATAAACTTTCCCCGATTCAAAATTTCACTGTGTTAAGAAGTGTTGTTGTAACGGGGTTGATTTGTGGTCCCTAACATCGTCTTAGTTGAAATTCGTTATCCTATTTTCAATAAGGGCGTGATCGCAAAGATCCTGAAGTTTGTTCCTTCTCATTTTTCGGGAGCTGGTGCCGCTGTAGTATGCTAATCGGTCCCCCGTGCAAAAGTGTCCCCTTTGAGGCGGTATGCGTTTCAGTAACCTTCGTGAAACGGGTAGCGTTTCAGTGACCAAGTGGTAATGGCGGAAGTGTATAGCGAAGCTTCGACAAAAAGTTCAAGATGCTGATATATTCATAAGTTCAAGATGACTGTTAAATTTACTGGAAATCCAAAAATATATTATTTATAATGCAAAGATTGCTTAGATTTCTTGCGGTAGATGATAATAGTAAGCCGAAATAGAAAGTTGATACGGTGAGTTTAGGCCCATCAGCTTGATTCGTGAAATCGTGGCAAAACTGATGGTTTATTCACAAGAGACGCTCCCTTGTGTTTAAAATCAAATTTTTTACTCGTGCATACTTGATTGTAAAGAAAAGCTATGTACAAATCTAACATTAAATGCATATGAAAGGCGTGAATCTTGACATATAATTTATTCGTCCCTGCTCTGTTTGGCCTAAGCCTTGCTACAATTTGAATATATAATAAACTATATCGTGAATATCAACATTGTCTTTCATCATGCCCATTTCATAGTGATTTATTTTTTCCAAGATGCTGCTACTGAAAAGCTAGGCGGCTAGTGCCCCCTTGAAGCATGCATGCATTGGATGGGGAAGATATTCTACCCCATGTTGAAAGGGCCAGCCCCTCCATCAAAAACTTTCTGACACCTCTGAAAAATGATATCAAAGTCTCTAGAATCAAGGTGGAATTTTTGCATCCTTGCCCTTCAACTATTTAGATGTGTATATAAACCATATACTTTTCAAGTTTAGGCATCTTCTGTATCAATAAATGATCAAAATCCCCCTATATATTTTTTTAAATTGAGGAAAATTTTGTCTGAAAATATTTCATCTTGAATATTCTGTACTGAAATTTACAAGTATAAACATAAAATATTGCTAGTTCTGTTTTGTTTAAGAGGTAATATTGTTCAGAATGTCTGCTTTTCAATGTGGATGTTCTTGACATTGACATTATTGTTCTTGGTTTTTCTCCTACTCACTAAACTTAAACAAAACAACAATGGATGAGATGTTTGTTGTATAGTGTAAATTTGATTTGATGATGCCATCATCATTAATAATATTTAAACACTACAACTGTCTTAGGGTTCACATTACTTTGATAGATGGAAAGAATCATTATTTTTGCTTCTTAAATTTTTTATATGGTTTAAACAATTCACAATCATGAAAAAATTTTCTTATTTGTTTTATACAATTATGGGATCATAATATTTACTGTATAATACAATGAGATTGTACTTTTTTGCTAGAATAAGCCTTACATCTTCTCTGACTTGGCCCTTATTTACTGTGGGATTTTTTGCGCAGCTCCTACACAATATAAATTTTTCTTCAGATTTTTTTGCATAAAAATGAGAAATAATAATTGAGAAATAAATAATAAAATCAGAGCTGTTTTTCTCAAAATGTATGTATTTATTGTCAGATTTATCAGATATATAAAGATTTTATGTAATATAAACTTTCAAAGTTTTTCTGTATAATTATAATTCATTTTTTATTAATGCTTTCAAGTATTTGGTAGACCTTTTTTCAGACCTTCCTTAAGAGTTTTTGGGAGACGTTTGGTAAACCTTCTAACCAGTTCAGAGACTACAATGTTAGTTTAATTTTGTGGTTCTTAACTTTCATTAGCAAGACATATTCAAGAAAAACATATCAATAATATTACTTATGGATATGATAAGAATAAATGCATATGGATATAAAATGCACAAAATCAACTGTGTTAGCCACATCAGAGTAGGTAGTACCTAGGTATTGTAGTCTGAGTTTAGATTCAGTTAAATGAATTTCGGTTAATTCTCTACATCAAATTTTATGTAAAACTGTTTTATGTACGATACAAGCATACATTATATTGCCCGTAAATTGGAAAATTTGCAATATGTACACAACTCTTCTAATCACCATATATGAAGCTCGACACTTTTTTATCAAACTATTTAGCATAAGCATGTATTAATGGCGAATCGTATCTTTCATTTGTCCTAACAGAGACTCCTTACTGAAAGGTTTTATGTAAAGTTGGGTATCAACGACAAAGTTGGGTATCAAAGGAGGGGACATAGAAACTTCTTTGACAAAGAAATACATTATTTTTCCTTCTGATACCAAAGAGTCTGAGTAAAATGGATTATTTATCAACGTTAAAAGTTGAAAACATTATTTCGCTAATGCTTACAAAGAATCAACGAAAATAAAGCTGGACACCTTCGCGCCTATAAATAAATAGGCAACTGATCATAATGAGAATTCTCTTCCTTTCGAGAAATTCCATACAATGATGTATTTTGGTACAGGTCAATTCAAATACAAATTGAATGAGATTTGATTTTTTCCAGAACAACAAGACTAATGTCCGTTGATTGTTGACCGAAAAAACCAAAGTAATCATTTAACATAGCCCTCGTCGAAATTTTCCGTTTTTTCTTCATTTCAGAATTGAAGAAAGATACTCCATTTTTTCCCTTTAGAAAGAATCGGAGTATTAGCAATAAATCGAAGTTTAACCAAAAATGGAATAAAAAAATGGATACACAAAAACATATTAATATTCAAGTCCAAAGTTTCCATTTCCAAATCTATCAAAACCTTGAAATAGCTTTCCGCCAGCCCTTGAATATTCATTTGAAGAGAAAGGTTGTATAAGTCACAGAATGTCGCCTCGTGTCGCAAGTAAATCGAGGAGGCATGATTAAGGAGACATATTTATCTATCAAAATTTGAGAAATAACTTCTTTTTGTTTATATACATAATGATGAAAAGTTTTTATTCGACTCATTAAATGCCTTTTTGTAACTATAGAGGCAAAAATTCAGCATTCAAGTATTATTCAAATTTCATTAGATTACATTTTCACATTAGTTCATAGAGAGGCCCATCTATGCTTGGGACTAAATATGCTAGTGCGGCCCTGTTATTAATCAGTGTAAGGAATTAATACAAAATTGCTGATATATAATCATATGGTAATTTATTTTCTAGTTGTTCTTGTACCACCCAAGTTAAGAGTTTAAAAAAATATCCCAAACTTAAATTAATTTGTTTAAAGTATATGACATCATTTCATTAGCATCCCCTTTTATTCTTTCTCAACCAACTATAATGGAACTGGTGGTATGCCATTTATAGCAGATGGAACTTTCAGTGGCGCTGCAAGACACTAAGGTGTGGTGGGGACGGAATGAAAAATTTCCACACCTTTTTGCCGTCGAAAAACGCCTTTTTAACCCCAGCTATTTTACTAGTAGGATAGTAGGATAAGCTCAAGACTAATTTTTTTGGTTACACAAAATCAAGTATAATAATTTCCTAAAATATTACCCCTTCCCAAAATTTTCTCATCAGAATACGACGAAATACAAAATCAATTATACGGAGATGTCTCACCCACTCTTTCTCTGGCTCTGCCAGAATGTATACCCAAGCTGA